ACTCCTTTTATTTGCAGCAATGCTTAATGCCCCTTCCTCCAGCTCTGGCCTTGGCATGAGTGGAGGGTGAGGGTGCAGGTGAAAGCATTCTTTTCCCAGGGTGAGTGAGAGTCAGAGACACTAACCTCTTAAATTTGGCTGGCCCTGAGGAGTGCGTGCGTGTGTGTGTGTGTGCGCGCGCGCACGTGTGTGTGTGTGTGTGTGTGTGTACTCCTACAACATTTACTGAAGAATTACGGTCTGTGTACCCAGCAGTCCACAGTAAATAAGGGAATACTGCACCTTTCTGAGGTCTCATTTAGGTTTGTGAATGGAGGTCTCCAAGTGTGAACCCAGCANAGAGTCAGAGACACTAACCTCTTAAATTTGGCTGGCCCTGAGGAGTGCGTGCGTGTGTGTGCGTGTGCGTGTGCGCGCACGTGTGTGTGTGTGTGTGTGTACTCCTACAACATTTACTGAAGAATTACGGTCTGTGTACCCAGCAGTCCACAGTAAATAAGGGAATATTGCACCTTTCTGAGGTCTCATTTAGGTTTGTGAATGGAGGTCTCCAAGTGTGAACCCAGCAATGAGGGTAGAGGAATGAACTCCCAGCCCCTCATAGCTTACAGGGACATGGACAGGGATCTCCAATTTACCTGGTAACCTTTGGATACCTGAGAGAGTAGCTCTATCCTCAAGGACTTCTGATTCAGTCAGAGGGAAAGATACAGATGAGGATCACCCACAAATGCAGGTTCAGACTCGCCTGACCAGAACTTTCCTGGGTCAAATATGTGTTGCCAAGCCCTGACTTGGAAGGTTCACACAAATTATTGCATCATGAACACTGGCTGAGTAAATTCCACCAGCCTGAATCTCATTTCCTCATTTGTAATATAACGAGCTACATTGTATGGGGAGAATGATACCTGGATATGTACTTTGCAAGTTATTTTATTATTAACAAGTCTCTAGTCACCTCAGGGCTCAAGTGTCACTCAGATAGCGTGTTAGACATTAGGAACATGCATTCACCATTTTTTCTCCTTTTAAGTAAGATTTTTTCTCTGTTTTTAAAGTAATACATGTTTTCTGAAAAACATTTAAGGATGCACACCAAAAAACTAAAGAATTTTTTTAAAAAAAACAATGAACTACTATTAACATATTTGTTGCATTTTCTTCAGGGTTTTTTTTTTTTTTTTTCATGCATGAATCTGTATTTACAAACCTGGCTTCCTATGTATCTATAGTTTTGTTTTTTTTTTTCCTTTTTGTCTTTTTTCGTGACCGGCAACAGATCGCAACCCT